AAAAAAATCTTCCCTTAAAATATACCTAACATTAGGAGTCGTAATGTCTTAAATAATTATGTGCCATGGTTTGGGGATTATTCGTTTAACAGGTGGGTAAATGACCACCTTAATATCCTACTTTACACTTTCATCGGAGGTCTTGGCCTACTTAAAATAGTTGAGTTTACATACTCAAATATGGCCAGAAATTTTTCATTTGATATTTAGATAATTATTTTTAGTTGACGAAGAGACTCTCAGCATGATTTGAGTCACTTGTATTTTTAGACTGAAGATGAAGATGGGGCTAGTTTACATTTATTCTTCAGATCTCAAAAGGGATGAAAACTTCTGTAATGAAGCAGTAAACTTAAGGAAGTTACTTATTACTGACTTAAGAATTCCTACAGCAGAGATTTCACTGTCCAAGACATAATCTTTTCGAAGAAATTTAGGTCACTAAACATCATCTGGTAATTACTGCTGATTGGTTTAGCTGTTAAGAAGATAAGCAGATATGTTTTGCAGTATGTTACCTACACACCGAAAGGAATATATCTCATTCCCCCTCTGTGCTCATGACCAGCCTGGACAACATAGCAAGAACCTGTCTCATTGTAGTGAAATGTGATACCTTTAATCACCTTTTGGATAAAAAGACCCGGTCCATATGGTCATGTCCCAGAATAGCTGTTAATTGTTTATTTAACTCTGTTAAGTCCAAAGACGTCACTATATTTTCACCTTTTGTCTTCAAGGATGAGGGTGTCTATTAAGAGTTACTAGAAAAAGAGGCTATAAATTGAGATTTGGCAAAGAAGGAGGGATGTTACTTAGCTAAGTTGCAACTGTGTGGAAACAAACCTCAGAAAAGGACAGAAAGCCTGTGTGATGGGATGGATAGAAACCTCCAGCAGGCAGGAGCCCGTGATTCTAGCCCTGGCTCTGCCTCTAACTCATACACATTGGCCAAGTCAAATCACTGAGGCAGCCAACATTTATTGACAGTCTATCATGTGCTGGATGCCGTGCTTCTATCAAGAAGCTTCAAACATGACAATCTCCGGCCTTCGAGGAGTTTCTGATCTTCAAGTGGGAGTGACAAAGATGTAAGCATTCCAGAGAATGGCCTGGTAGCAAGCAGAATCAGTCAGTGAGTGAACCTGGCCTGTTGGCCTGAATATTCTCGCTTCTCAGAAGGGCTTTATTCTCATTTAATTTAATATCTCACTTAGTCTATATACTCCTGTGAGGTATGTATGTGTTTTACAAATACCAGAACTGAGGCAGTTATATTATATATGGTGACATTTGAAAATGTTGGAATTTACCAAGGTCTCTCACTGTATCCCTGGCAAATGTCTTGGTCTACTGTAATTCAGCGGGGCTGACAGAGAAGTGCAAATTTTTAACTTGGTGAAGAGTTAAGAATGTCTCAAGTGAAGTTGGATAAGTGCACAAGTAATTACTGCTGTGATCTTACAGAACTGAAACTAGTTATATTTCTAAAAGTGTGAAACATGCTAGTATAAACATCCTGATAGTTTCTGAGAAGAGTTTCAAACCACGGTGTAAAACTCATTTGCATTTACTCAATGGCACTGGTAACAGAGTTTGTTAGGCAATTTCTTGAATGTATAATGCTGTGGCTGTTCTTGTAGAAACTAACTCTTCTTTTACAGTGGTTTCTTACAAGAAATACAACTGAAGTGTATGTAGACTTGGCAACAGTTTGATGTGTCTAATTTCTTATTGTGGATGGGCAAGTTGATGGGGTCTTGATAGATTCTAACAATCAAAGCAGTGGACCACTCATTCAACAGGTCTGGGATGTAGCCTTGGAACATGTATTTCAGAAAGCTCCTTAAGTGATGATAATACACAATTAGAATTAAGAATGACTATCTTTGATTCTTAGAAGTTATTCTGGTCCCGTTATGTATTATTCTCAGTTGTGAATATTGTCATTAATTTCTAATTTCATTGCTTTATGAACTGAGTATATGTCATCTTGTGTCTTGGTGTTATTCAGATTGGCTTTGTGACTTGGTCACTTTTTTATAAATGCTCTGTATGTGAGTTTCTAATGTGTGAAGTACTCTGTAGATGTCTTTAGATTAAGCTTGTTAATAATGTTGTGAAAATCTTCTACATCTTATGGATGAAATGATATCTGAGAATTTCCTCAAAATAATACAGATTTGGGGGGAATGGATGGGAATATAGATGAAACAAGATTGACCATGAATTGTTAACTGGTTGAAACTGAGTAGGGAGGTACATGGAGTTCTTTACACTATGTGTCTACTTTCATGTATGTTTAAACTTTTCCACATTAAAAAAAAAAAAACTAACAATTTTAAAGACCATGAAAATGTATCTTTCCCAATTTTTTGTGTACTTGATCTATCAGTTACTGAGCCAGGTATGTTACAATCTCCTGCTTCCTAATTCTGTCAGTTTTTGAGTTATATTCTCGAGGTTGTGTTCTTAGACAGATGCTAGTTCAGAATGCTTTCATTTTCCCAGTGACTTCTCATCATTAGGCAAGGACCCGCTTTGTCCCTATTAATGTTCTTGCACATTGGCATTAAAGTATATTTTGTCTGATATTAACAGTATTGTAGTTTTTTTGGTCTTAGAATTTATCTTTTTCCATCATTTTATTTTTAGCTGTCATGTTTTAGGTGTGCGCATGTATCTTAAATAATTGCGTATTGTTGGGTTCTGTTTTTTTAATCCCTGACAATTTCGGGTTTTAGGTGCTGAGTTTAGTTTACATTTATTATAGTTGATAATTGAATGTTTTCTAACATCTTATTTTGAGTTTTCTGTTTGCTTTTCTTTGCTTTTTTCTACTTTTATTTAGATTACTGGATTTTCTATTTCTTTTCCAGCTCTTCCCCCCATAATGATTTTGAAGTTTGGGTTTTTGTTTCTGTTATTTTGGTAGTTATCATTAATTCTTAACATGGATATTTAATAAACTCTAAATTTAATTTTACATTCTGTTGCCCTCATGATGCAAACAGCTTAGAACACTGTAATTTCTAGCACCCACCATTTTACATATGATTTCTGATTTTTTATCTCTGCCTTGTTTTTATACCCCCAAATTAGTCATTATTGTTGCTGTTCAGTTTCTTTGTTCACTGGTGCTTCTTGCCTCTTGCTGCTTTTTGGATCCTATTTCTTTCTAGTATTGTATCCCTTAGTAGGAAATTCCCTCAGTTGTTTTTTGGCCCTCAAGCATGAAGCACAGGCTTAGCTAGGTATAGAATGTTCAGTTGATTGGTTTGTTGCTTCAGCACTTTGAAGATACTATCCTGTTGGCGTTTATTGTTTGGCTTCTTTTCTTTCTATTTCTTTTCTTTTCCTTTTTTTTTTTTTTTTGGTCTTTTTTTCTCCTGCTATGTCTAAGAATTCATTCAGAAAATAATTCATTTCCTTTGTCAGTAGTGGAGAAGTCTGAATTCTTAGCTATTATCTTTTCAAATATTGACTTTCTTTTCTCTCTTCTTTTGGAACTCTGTGTAGAGGTATGTTAGAGCTTCTCAGTTTTTCCTCATGTCTCTTAACTTCTCATTTTCTACCTCTTTCTCTGTCCTGTCTTATGTAATTTTCTCACCTATATCTTCCATTTTATTAGTTCTCTTTTAACTTTGGCCTGATACATTTAACCTGCCCATTGAGTTTTAAATTTTATCAGCTATATTTTTCATTTCTATAGGTTCTATTTAATTCCTTTTCAAATCTGCCTGTTCTTTTTTTTGTGTGGTATATCTTGTGCTTAGGGTTTTGGTTTCCTTTATATTTTCAATCATTTAAAACTACTGATTTTGGGGGGGGTCATATTTTTGAGATATAATTTAATAGAGTAAAATTCACCTTTTTTAGTGTACAGTTCTGAGCTTTGACAAACACATTGAGCCATATAATTACCAACCACCACATTGAAGATACAGAACTGCTCCATCACCTCCCTAAAATGTTACCAAGCAATCGATGGACTCGCTGCCCGCTGTGCACAGAAGCCAATGTCATGGCACCAGCCTTTGAGAAAAGAAATACAGCAGGGATTAAAGCCCCAAGAACGTGGGGAAATCATCATTAGTCTGGAAAGACAATATAAAATAAAGGTGACACCATTGCATTGTACCCAGGGTGACAGAGTAAGACTCAGAGGCGCCTGGCTCTACCTCAGCATGGTCTGCCCAGGTCACAAGTGATCTTTCCCTGAGGAGGGTCCACCAGCTCGCCTACCTGTGGTCTCAGAACAGGACGAGGTTGACACTTACATCAAAGGTTGATGTATTTTTTTCATCTCCCCTTCATATGCTGTCAAGCTCTATCATGCAGACAAGACACATACTACATTAACATGTGAAGAATACGGAGTATTTCCATACTTCTTTGCAGTATGTTAAAAACAATCCAGCCTACAAATTAGCCTTGCAGGAGTCAGAAGCGCTGCTCTCGTGAGCTGCAGGTACCTCCTGCCTCCGCCCGGCTCCCCCCGAAGTAGCATCGAAGGCTCCCAGGAAGGCACTTCAGTCAGACTGCATTGCTGAACCTTCTTGTGAGATTTTCCTTTTTCCTGCTTCAATGTTTGACTTAAAATTCCAGTGAGACTTGAGGCCAGAGTTGGAGGATACATTCTTCAGTAGGGCTTTTCCTTCCTGGGTCCCTTCTCCCTGCATTCACAGGTGACCTTCCCTTTAGAGCTGTGCCCCCTCTGTTTACACAGGTGGCTCTTGCTCAGATGGGACCCAGAGGGATGATCTTTCGAAATAAGTTACAGATTTTTAAGATTGTCTTGGAGAAAATAATATGAAGACTACCTTTCTAAAAAGAGAGAATACAGACTGTGTTTGTTTTTATTTTATATTAATTTTTGTCTCCTCGCACTGCAGGGAAAGGTGTGGCTAATTGACTTTAATCCATTTGGTGAAGTCACAGATTCCCTGCTGTTCACCTGGGAGGAGCTGATATCTGAGAAAAACCTCAAAGGTGATTTTAGTGAAGGAGATGCTCAGGAGCAGGTAAGACAGTTTTTAAAAAGGTATTTCTAAAAAAATCCTTTTTATTCCACTGACTGCTTGTTCTTTAGACACATAGATGGGCAGTGACAAGGACCCTTGGGAAGCACGTAGTAAAACAGATTTACTAAGGGGGACTTGCCCGCAGAGGTGGTCAGAGAAGGGTGTACATTCTGATCCATTCATTCAACTGCACATAAAGAAATAAGGATCGTCGCAAACATTTTTCTGGTTATTTTCTCTTTCTTAGCTCTTTATATCATTCCCACCCGGAAGAATCTGTTCTGGTCTCTCAGATCAGTTCATGTGTCTGACGCCAGGCACAGCTGCTGAGCGCTGACAGGTGACGCCCATGGGCACAGACCCTCGCATTGGTGAACTGGCTTCCTGACTGGCTTCCCCAGTCAGCGCTCTCTTCCGTTACCCACAGTGGCTCGTTCCCACCTTCTCCATGCTCTGGCTCTTCCATCCCATCGTTTCTTCCCTTCCTCTCAGCAGATACTTTTACTTCCTCTTCATAGGAAAGAGAATCCACTGACAAGAATTCTCTCAGTTGAATTGTCATCAAACCTACAAACTTGTCTGTCCCCTCCTGAGTCTGATCCCCTCCTGCTCAGCGTGCTGTTCCTTCCTGTCTCTCCATGTACCCTGTGCTGCTCCTCCAGTCTCTTCCTTCCTGCCAGCTCCTGCCCCTCAGGACTTAGCCAGGTTCCCATATCTCCCATTTAAAAAAAATAAAACCTTCAACCCCATTTCTTCACCCAGCTACACTCTCCTCTCTCAGCCTCACAGCCAGAATTTCCTTAAACAACAACTTTGTATTCCTTTTTGCTGCCTATAAAAAACAATACATAAAAAGTAATAAATGAAAGTACCCATTTTTAATGAAAATTGCAAAATCCTCTAGAACCCTACCACCTTGAGAACTACACTGTATATTTTGGTCTGCAACATGCATTTAACACATACACATAAACCTTTTTAAATAAAGAGATTATGCTGCATAGGCATTTATGTATCCTGAGTCTTTTATTTGCTATTATCTTGTGAGCATTTTACATCTTTTTAAAAAATAGTTTGAGTTTTACGTGGGAATTTAAGAAAACCGAGAATTAGAAAGAAGCAGGACTTGAAATCCTGCCACCTGGAAATCACCATCCCACCACTGCAGTCAGTGTTTTTCCAGAACACACACACTTTTACGTAAGTTGGAGCTGGTGTCACCGCTGCTGCTGTCACACGACTTCTTTTAAACCACGCAGAGGTTGTGCCTCACCACAGCCAGCTTCCATCGGCGCTGTCCCCACTTGCTGCCGTGGGTGCTCCCCTGTCACCTACGTACTCCTCAGTCCTCCACCAGCTGGCTTCTGTCCCACCACCCAACAGGGCTGCTCTTGGCAAGGTCTCCAGCACTCACTGCGCATCCCGGTGCACGGTGCACAGTCCTCGTCTCACAGAGCCGCCGCGCAGGACTCGAACCCTTGCCCGCTCCGTGTCCTTGCAGCACTCCTTCCCTCGGTTCCCGTGGCACGCGCTCTCCTGCCAGGTCCTTCCTGCTTTTCTAGCTGCTTCTCTGCCTGCTTCTCTGCCTTCATCATGAGCGTTTGTCTTTTGCCGATCTCTGAAATACTTCCTTTCATCCTTACTCTGTCCTGGGCCCTCCTGGCCCTGTTCTTCCAGCTCTGAGTCAGATCCGTATTTACCCTGTGGTGGCACTTGCCAAACTGTGTTCAAGTGGCCTGTTGACTTGCCTGTGTCCTGTGTTAGGCTGTAAGTTTCTGAGAACAGGTAGAGCGTCTTCTTGTTTTCAGTGCGCCCGCAGGGCTCAGCACAATGTCAGGCACAGTTTATGTTTGTCAAATTAATGAATGAAGGGATTTATGCCTGCTGGCATCTTACAGTAACAGAGTCATGAAATCTGAGAGACAAGGAAGGAGAATGTAAAGTATCCAGTACAGGCGTTAATTTTAAATATGAGAGACACAATTATTGGATACAAACAACTTGGTGCAAGATTAACTCTGTGATCCAAATCCTTTATTTAATTCTTCTAAATATTGGAGGTTGAGGGATGACAAAAGGGGAACAAGAACTGGCTCCTGCCTCCTCGTCCATCATCCCCTCCTGCCTCTCTTCCCTGTGCTCAGGCCACAGAGACCAGGCCTTCCCTTTGTTCCGTGAGACTCAAAAGTCCTACCTTGCGTTAAGTCCTTTGTGCTAGTTGTTTCCACTGCCTTCAAAGCTTTGTTCTGCTCCCAGACCCTCACGAGGCTGCTTTCATCCCCCTGGTCAGTTCTCGGCCCAGATACCTCCTCAGCAACGTCTTTCCCGACCACCCTTCTAAGATGGTCTGTGTTGTTGTCCTCTTAGTATATCGCCCTGTTTCTTTGTTTCTATGACACTTTGTGCTGTCTGAAATGATCTTGTTAATTTGTCTGCTTGCTTGCTTGCTGTCTGTGTCCTAGTCTTGTTTACCAATTTATCTCCCATACCTAGAACAAGGTCCAGCACGAAGTAGATGTGTCATAACTCTTTGTCAGATGATGGGTCTGCCTGATGAAGATACGCCCTGCTTTCTTGGGCCCCATGGTCCTGATCCATTCTAGTTCCCAGCCTGTGTCCCTCTGTGGACACCATCCTCACCTAGATATCTGCCATCCCAGAAGTCCAAACCCAAGGCCATCTGTCTCCGAAATCCTTTTTGGCTCAAGGCCACATGTAAATATATTAGGCAAGACTCTAAGCAAGTACACTAAAGAATGTGAAGACTCATTAAATCTGATACTTGAATTTGTTACATAGGTGATGAGAGGGATACTCAAATAAATAAGTTAAATGACCTAAAAGAAGTATAGACATGTTAGGGAATTCAAAGCACTCATTTGCCCTCACTATTAACTGTTCTCTAAGATGGTACTGCACACCTGTGGAAAATAATATTTATAGAGCATTGTGGCCTGTGTGAGTTTGCTTGAGGCCAGAGATGGCTGGCCTTAGGCCCTGGCCCACTCAGGGGCTAAAGAGACCCACAGCCCATGTGTGCACACTGTGGCTGCACCCTGGTAGCATTTAGGGATCGACCTAGCACTCCATGATGATAACTGTTTCCCAGATACCTTATGTTTATCTTCTAGTGAATATGTAGAATTACTTTAAAATCTCGGTTCCTTCTTTACTTTAGAATCTTATTTTCTCCTTATCTAGTACAGAAGAGAACATGGAGTTGAAATTGATATGCCAGGCTCTTTTTTAGTTCGGGGAATAGGCCTAAAAATAAATTACTTGCGGACTTTCCTTTTTTTTTTTTTTTCCTTCGTAAAGGATTCTCCAGCTTTCCGTTGCACGAACAGTGAGGTTACAGTGCAGCCCAGCCCCTACCTGAGCTATCGACTGCCCAAGGACTTCGTAGACCTCTCTACTGGGGAAGATGCTCACAAACTGATAGATTTTCTTAAACTGGTAACATACATGTATATTTAGTATGCTGGTCATCTTTTCAAATTGGCTTTTTAATATTTCATTTTAGTCCTATATCACCTAGACTTTTATTTGATGATTATGAATTAAAGGAACAGTATTATTGAGTTAGACCATTTGATAATGAAATGTGAAATGTGAGCTGAAGGAGTAATTATTGATTAGAATGATAGAAAACGTTTTTATGCTATACATGCTTTTTGAAAATTTTTCATAGTACATCTAACTTTGAAGAATGTGTATATGTTGTTATAGAGCTACAAGAAGACCAAATCTCTGCTGTGGTGGTGATTTCACTCAAGGGGGCATGTAAATATTTGTATTTCTGTGTGTGTCTGTGGGGGTGTTTTTATGTATGAAAGAAAGAGAAGAAAATATTCAAATGCCTGAGGATAATTTGCCCAGGAACCAAAACTAGTTTAATGAATTCGTTAAGGCACATTTTTCTATGATAATTTTCAATCACATTTTTTTGCAAGGCCTCTAGAAAATTATACTTGCTAACAAGAGGTGATCTTGGCTGAGCAAATGTCCCAATTAGAATGTGCTATTTTAACTCTTGGTTTTCTTTGACAGAAAAGAAATCAGCAAGAGGATGACTGATTAGAGAGCTAGAGTTCAAGACCCAGTTAAAGAGGAAACCACCGCTGCTTCAGGAGGCTGTTCATAGGCCACAACTTCCTGTCCCCCCTCGTCGGTGGGGTGGGGGCAGGCATTGTGGACAGCAACGGCTTTTTATATTCATGTATATTCACCTGGATAACAATGGAGGGACTTTGCTACTTGTAAAAATGACATACTAAATAGATCTTAAACATAGGAAACCATGCTGTTCTGATAATAAAATACTTTCTATGAAACACCTTGCTTTTCTGGCCCAGTCTGTGTAGGTTTATCTGTATTTCTTGTGCTGATATTTTTATACCTATAAGGTAGATGGGCAAATTTATATTTATTATACAGAAATAGAGTCCTTCTTAATCATTACTTTTCCTTTTAAAAAATAGAATCTTTTATTACTATAGAAAATATTTTCCTACTTTGAGGCTTTTCATATAATTTTTCTTTCAGTTTAGCTTCAGTTTGGGTATAGCTAAAAAAGTAGAGGCTTTTCAAACTATCAACTATGACGTTTTTAGCATATTATAACCACCTTAATATATGTTAGCAAAACTATCACAGGTTTGATTGTAATTTGACCTTTTAAAAAAATATTGGAATTTGGGGAGGTAGATTCATTTTTTTTTTTTAAAGGCTGACATTTTAGTAATTATTCTTCAGTGCTCTAAGTGATGATAGTGGTATCAATGGTATCTGATTTACTAAGGGCTTACTACGTGCCAAGCCACTCGGCTGAAGGCTCTTTTTGTATTATTTTACATTACCAGGCAATTTGAAGGATACAGGCATCATAATTTCCCAGAGTATCTATCGAATGTGGTATCAAAGAATATTTTACTCACTGAAGGTATGTTTCTCGACATACAAGAACACACATGAGTGTTGCCTCTGTAGGAGGATACAGAGACAAATGGAGCAAAGTTTCCCCTACTGTGCATTTAAGGCAGATTGTCTAGAATGATGAAAGATAATTTCTTTTTTGGTTATCTCAAACTCCATAGCTTTTTGTGTGGTTTCACAGTCATAATCACTTTATTAGTGCGTTAAATCCAAAACATGAAGATTAAGTTGTGATCTTTGTACTCAGTACTTGATCTTTGTACTCAGTATATCAAATGCCATTTCTGAGGCCAACTGTTTGAGGTACAGGTGTTTAAAAAAAAATTTTGTTTTTTTCAGGTGTTCATGGGTGTCTTATTAACCTGTGATAGAGGGCTTTAGTATCATGAGTTGATTGAAGTCTAGCTCTGGAAACTGGCATTAAGATGGTACTTTACCAAGTTTTTTAAAAAATGTAAATAATACAAATTGAAAACAGACTATATAGAATAAAAAGACTGAAGATTTGATAGTTCATAAATAGTACAATTCTTGGTGTAAAACTTACTAAATTTTTGCATTATTATTCCTGAGGAAATTACGGAGTTCAACTCTCACTTCACTTTTTAAACCATGATTTACATTGTTTCCTTAGTATATTTAATTTTAGTTGATTATCCTGATATTAATACTAAATAAAAATAGGATAATATGCAGGAAACATTGTCCTAAGTTCCAATATCTTTTATGCCTGCCTGGAGATTAGTTTTGAATTATCCTTTTGTTTTATTGGCATTATCTGTTCTTTCTTTGAGGTATCTCAAGTTTGTGCTTGAATTTAGAAAATGAATATCTATGTGATTCCTTAGCTTGTCCCTGCAGTTCTGCTTTCTGAAGAGAAAACATTGCAGCTGTTGATTTTGAAGGGTTGGAATAAACCTGCTTGCTTTGTCCTGCAGGCAATGGCATGTAGCACAGGCCTCCTGAATACAGCAGACTTTGCCAAAAGTTCTGTTTTTAAAAGTCTCATTTTGATTTGCATTTTCTGAGTTCATAAATTTTTCCCATCTACTCAACCATTTCTCTTGTTGGTGATTGAGGATTGTGTCTGTTAAAAAACAAACAGAAACTAGGCTTGGCACCATGGCTCACGCCTATAATCCCAGCACTCTGGGAGGCCAAGGTCTGGAGGACGACTTGAGGTCAGGAGTTCAAGACCAGCCTGGGCAATATAGCGAGACACTGTCTCTACAAAAAATAGAATGATAAGCTGAGCGTGGTGGTGCTGTAGTCCCAGCTACTCGGGAGGCTGAGGCAGGAGGATCGCTTGAGCCCAGGAGTTTGAGGTTGCAGTGAGCTATGATGATGCCACTGCACTCCAGCCAGGGCAACAGAGCGAGACTCTTGTCTAAAAGAAAAAAAAGCAGAAACCTATGTGACAGTTTTTTGGATAAGTTTGTCTCTTACCCATAAAGTGGGAGAATACAAATCATGTGTCTGTTAAATGAGATAACCCAGGTCAAGCTTGGGTCTAGTGCCCTGCAAAGGGTGGCTGTTAACTACCATTCTGCTTTGCAGACCTCTGAGCAATCTATTAAAGACAAGTTCTTTTTAGCAGAGTCAAGAAAATTTTGAGTGCAAAGAGACTTCAGAGGTCATTCAGCCTAGTTTCTTTTCTTCCCTCCCTCCCTGCTTCCCACAGAAACTGCTGCCCGGAGGCAGTGAGCCTTGCCCAGGACTTCACTGTAGCAGGCTCAGGGCCAAAGAGAACTTCCGGTCTGGTGCTTTTCTCTAAAGGTTTCTAGCCTAATATTTTTTATAGATAAGTTTCAACCAGGACATTATTATTCTAATGACAGAATTTTCAGAAAAGAATTTAAAAAAATAAATGTAAGTACAAATGCATTACCCACATTTGTGTTTGGAGGAATCAAAGAAAAAGGTACTAAATACAGAAAAATTCAGTGAAGAAATAGCTGTCTTTGGAAGATCCGTGCAATTTCACGTTTATGTTACCCAGGCCGATCCTGAGAGGTGTCTTAGCCATGTTTAGACATTTCAAAGACAGAATTCCTATTTAACTAAACATTACTATTTTATTCACATGTCTTGGCTCATAGAAATCAGTTTCAATTCATACGCTAAAAAAAGAATAAATAACGATAAATCCACCACTCAGACACAATGCAGATGTATTATGTATTCACATTAAGAAGAAGCTCGAGAACTAGGAACGTAAGAAATAGTAACAAAAAGGTATTTGAAGAAATAGCTAAGAGCTCCGTGTTCCGGGGTTGGTCAAGGCGCCTGGCACGAATGAGCTGAAGAGAGACTGTGTTCAGGTATGTCTTTGTTTAAATCGAAACAAGATGGCACTTCTAAATACATACAGCCTGCGAGACGCACAGCGGCAGAGCACTGGGGTGCGCGTGCTGCTGCCCCGCAAAGAAAGGCGGCAGCGAGCTATGATGATGCCACCGCATTCCAGCCAGGGTGCCAAAGTGAGACCCTGTCTCAAACAAAAAAAAAGAAAAAAATCATTCAGAATAACAACCATTTAGGAGGTAGTTTTGGTTTGGATTAGATTGTTTTGCTTTTAAGTAGATCACACTTTTTTTTGTTGTGGTTGCATGTCAGCATAGCTTAATGGTCATTCAAGTAGACTCGAGCCAGACCACCGGGGTTAGAATTGACTTTGTCACCTACTAACAGCATGACCCTGGGCTACCTGATCTCTCTGGCCCTCTGTTTCCTGATCTGTAAAGTAGATATAGCAGTAGCCCCTGTCACCCAGGCTGAGTGCAGTGGTATGATCATAGCTCACTGCGGCCTCAAACTCCTGGGCTCAAGCGATCCTCCTGCCTCAGCCTCCTGAGTAGCTGGGACTACAGGCGTGTGCCACAATGCTGGCTAAGTTTTCTGTTTTCTTTGTAGAGACAGGGTCTCACTATGTTGCCCAGGGTGGTCTCAAACTGTTGGCCTCAAGTGATCCTCCCACCTTGGCCTCCGAAAGTGCTGAGATTATGGGTGTGAGCCACCACACCGGCTAATTACCTACTTCATTACATTATGTCCTACTTGCTTCTGGTGTTTGGTTTATATTACAAGCTCTTTGAAGGTAGGAACAAAAGGCTTAGAAGATGAATAAACCCTTACACATAATGAAATACAAAATAGACGGGGACACATCTGAAAGTGTTCCAAATGACTGTGAGTAGGCACAAAAATGGAAAATGTCCCCCTAAAATTCATATTTTGTTGAAGCTCCAACTCCAGGACCTCAGAATGTGATTGTATTTAGAGACAGGACCTTCAAAGAGGTGATGAACTTAAAATGAGGCCTTTAAAGTGGGTCCTAATCCAGTGTGACTGGTATTCTTACAAGAAGAGGAAATTCGGACACAGAGGCACTAGGGTCCCCACGCACAGAGGAAAGGCCAGGTGAGGACACACCAAGAGGGTGGCCATCTGCAAACCAAGGAGAGGGGCCTCAGAAATGAACCCTGCCAACACCTAGATCTTGGACTTCCCAGCCTCCAAACCGAGGAAGTAAGTTCTATTGTTTCAGCCATCCAGTCTGCCGTATTTTGTCATGGCAGCCATAGAAAACTAATACGTGAAGGAAAAGTATGGGCAAGATTTTGTAAAAATTACAAATTTAGGGTAAATAATTAAACTTATAAGCTCTGAGCTGTCAGGTGCCACTCATTAACTGAAGCAGAAACAGCTGTAAACTGCCCGCCCAGGCACTAGCCTGATGCATAACTAAATTCTGGTGTGTCTTTACAGAGGACATTAGAAACACATGCACGCACGCACGCACGCACGCACGCACGCACGCACACACGCAGCACGGGATCATCTACACCTGGGAGACCGTGTTTTGCAAGAAGACATCTCATATCGTAAGAGCATCAGGTTCCCCGCAACCTGAATCTGCCCCGTGAAAAAAAAGGCACAAAATGATTAGGCAGATGGAACTGCTTTTATTTCAAAAATTCTTTCAATATGAATGGGAATAGAGAAGCTTTTCCAGAATTTGCAGCATGATAATAAACTGGTGGCAGATACTCGCAAGGTGACCCCCAGTGAATCCTTGCGTAATCTCCTCCCCTGAGTGCAGGTGAAAACTGGGACTTGATTCTAACCAACAGAGTATGGCAAAGGGAAACTTTGGAGCTGTCATTGAGCGCCCTGATCAACTGACTTTAAGGAACTCAAAAGTGAGACATCTCAGTGAGTCTGGTCACATCAGGTGAGGCCTTTGCTAAAGTGAGAGGCTCAAAGCCCTCCCCTCCCCTCCTCCCTCCACCTCCCTTGTTCTCCCCTCCTCCCTCCCCTTCCCCCTCCCCTTTCCCCTCCCTCTCCTGCATTGCTGGCTTTGAGAAACAAGTCACCCAACCCCAACAATCACTTAGAA